AAAAAAAAAGATTTCTTGGCGTAACTTGGTGAGTGTGTTGGGGGCAGCATCTGGTTGTTGAAATATGTCAATTGGTATACTATCAATTTCTGGAGACATTCTTTCAAAGCAGTTTGAACTTCTTTCATCACCACTAGTTCTTGCTAATTTGTTGTTTCATGAAATTCTTTTGAGTCTGTCAATTCCTTTTGGTACAATGCTTCTGTATTAATGTATAAATTCATGATAGTCAGACATAAATTATGAAATCCTCTTGCTCACACTCACTGGTCCTTCTACCTTGATACTAATCACAGTCCCCTTAGGGACTCTGATTCTCTTCTGTCTGTTCTTTTTATGGTACTTAGTTTTACCCTCTGGAAATTTTAAGTTTGTAATCATAATATGCACAAAACAGGAAATCTTATCATACACATAATAAGAAAGAGAAAATAAAAAAACCCTCTAAATTACAGAAAGAGTACCAAATGGTTTACGAACTTGTAGTAAGAACTTGTAAATTCAAGGCTTTGTGTGTTGTTTCTTTCCCTTGAAAAATCTTTCCCACAAATGCAATAATGTTCTTCACATTGGTTATATAACCTTTACAGTTCACTTCTCACTTGCATCAAATTTAGAAATCTGGTCATTTGAAATTTCAAATAGATTTTGGTTGTTTAAATGTCTAGACAATGCTTCTTTGGCTCTACAATTTTATTAAAAACGATTGACTTCTAATCTATTTGTCAGCTTCATGTCTCTACTTACACTCAAAGTTTGTTTGAAGACATTCTTGCCAAGTGTAATTTAATTCTTCACTTTGTCCATTCTCTAAATCTCTCCACATTTTTAACAATTACCACCATGAGGCAATCTGAAAGAATGGATTCAGGATGGAAAGAGTACACTCAAGCTGATGTTTGCTGTCTGGCTAGTCTTAATAGATTTTACTGTTCAAAATTCACTCAGTATTTCCTAGTGCAAGTTTATTCTCCAAACTTTTGAGTAATCGAATTTTGAAAGTTTTATTTGTGCTTAAAACTGGACAACCTATATTAAATATATCATTTCTTGCAATACCTTGCTATAGGTAAAATGTGAAAGCATGTTATGAACCTATATTTTCTAGCTACACCCTATAGAATGTCAAGCTAAAGTAAACGTTGTCATCATCACTAAGTCCCCATCTTTCCTCCTTATGAACATTTAAACCTGTTGGTAATGTCTCACTTTGATGCTTCCATTTGACCCATTATAGATGTTTTGTAGGCCCTTTACTTATCCCAGGGGCCTCTGATGGCCTAGTGGCAATACCACACTGCAATCCTGGAGGTTGTTGTTTGTTGTTGTTGTTATGTCCTGGAGGTATGTGGTTTAAATCCACCAGCTGCTCTCCAGGAGAATGATCAACACCCTCTTAAGTCTTAATTGCCTCTGAAAACCCACTGGTGTTTCAGCTATGGGTTGGTTTTTACCGAACAGCACACACTTTACTTATCCCAGTGTTCTTCTTTACTCAGTCTGCTTTTCTGAAATTGCTCCCACTTATAGTCTTTAAATATGGAATTTCCCAGAAATTAACTATCAGAAAACTGTCTATACTGTCTTGAGAATGCCATCAATTATTGTACATTTTTCATAGCTACTCTAGTGGTAGGAAGTTATGTTCTCAGCCCCATGACATACAGTTTGAATCCCCCCAACTACTCCTTAGGAGAAAGATAAGCAATCTCCTCCCGTGAGGTTCCAGCCTCTGAAAACTTTCTGGAGAGTCAGTTATCAGTTAGTTCTGACTGGACAGCATATGATAACACACCATTTTATACCAGTATTTTAGATTACTAAGTCCAAAATTACTATGTTTAGCCTTAGCCTTTCCCAGGACATTATTAGAAGAAAAAATCTGGGTATTTTCAAAACAACTGTGAGATATTATCTCACCCCAGTAAGAATAGCAACATTTAACAGAGCAGCAAACAACAAATGCTGGCGAGGTTGTGGAGAAACTGGAACCCTATTCACTGTCAGTGGGAGTGTAAAATGGTGCAACCACTGTGAAAGGTGGTATGGCGCTTTCTCAAAAAGTTGGAAATACAACTACTATTTGATCCAGCAATTCCACTACTGGCAATATACCCTAAAGAAACCAGAACTGCCACCCAAGCAGATATATGCTAATCCATGCTTATTGCACCTTTGTTTATGATAGAAAAGAGTTGGAAACAACACAAGTGCCATCAACAAATGAACGGATAGAGAAACTGTGGTATAGTCACACAATGGAATACTATGCTGCTTTGAAAAACAAAAAAACCTCATGAAATATTATACAAAATGGGTGACTGTGGAGGACATTATGCTGAGTGAAATATCTCAGTTACAAAAGGACAAAAAGTGCATAGTGCCACTGTTGTAAAACAGGACTGACATGGGGTGGAGGGGGAAGACAGAGAAAGATGGGCTAAATTATGTATAATGCATTGAAACAGATGAGGGAGAGAACTGTTTAAAAGAGAAATATGTTTGATAATTTCCCTTTCAATCTCCTTGAAAAATGAATTTGATATCTGGATTGGGATTGTATTGAACACATAGATTGCTCTTGATAGGACTGTCATTTTCACCATATTGAGTCTTACTGTCCATGAACAGGGTGCCTTTTTCCATTTCTTTAGGTCTTTCATTGTGTCTTTCACAAATGCTCTGTAGTTTTCTTTGTATAGATAAGTCTTTTGTATATCTAGTTAGGTTCACTCCTATGTATCTCAATTTGTGGTTGGCTATTATAAATGGTATTGCTTTCTTATTTCCTTCTCTGAGTTCTCTTTGTAACTGTAGAGGAATCCTATTTGATTTTTAGATATTGATCTACTATCCTGCCACTCTACTAAAGTGGCCTATTAACTGGGAGTATAGACCCAAACCATACCATTCTTAACAGACAAACTAAGACCAAGCTAAGAAGCACTAGTCCAAGGTATAAAGATACTGCCAAATACAAACAGAAATGCACAATCTAAAGAGGATAAAATTGGTGCATGGGACCTTCTAAAAATTAAATCCCGGTGCACATCAGAAACTTTTTCCAACAGGGTGAAAAGAAAACCTACAGACCGAGAACAAACATTTAGACAAATATTTAGTAATACCATCTCAGACAAGAGTTTTAGAACAAAAGTTTACAGAATACTCCTGGGCCTCCACAAGAAAAAAGACTGATAACCCAATTACAAAATGGGGAAAAGACATGAAAAGAATTTTCACAGAGGAAGATATTTGAATGGCAAACAGACATATCAAAAAATGCTCCAAATCATTGGCAATAAGAGAGAGGCAAATAAAAACTGCAATGCAGTACCAACTCTCTCCAGTAACAGTGGCCAAGTTTAATAGGGAAGCAAATAATAGATGTTGGAGAGGATGTGGCGAGAAATGAACTCTTATACATTGTTGGTCGGATTGTAAAATGGTGCAAACAACCCTGAAGTCAGTTTGGCACTTCCTCAAAAAGCAGAATATAGTAATTCCATATGACCCAGCTATTCCACTACTTGGATTATACCCTGAGAATATGAGAACTGAGGCACAAACTGAGATTTACATACCAATGTTCACAGCAGCATTATTCACCATTGCAAGAACATGGAAACAGCCCAATTGTCCAACCACAAACAAATGGATTGAAAAATTGTGGTACATTCACACAATGGAATACTATGCAGCAAGCAGAAGCAATAACTTTGTAAATTATTGCTAACTTGGAAGGAACTGGAGAGCATTTGGTGAGTGAACTGAATTAGTTCCCACAAAAATTAATTAGATTGAATTAAAAGAATTAGAAGAAATTGAATTAGAAGAATTAAAAGATTGAATGAATCCCACAAGAATAAATATTGTATAAAACCATTATTGTAGAATGAGTATAAGGATCCAGGAGGGGTGGGAGAGGCTGGAAGCAGAAGGATGTGGATGTGCAAAAGGAGAGGGGGATTAATCATTAGGTTGTACCGTTTTATGAGTGGGGGGGGTGAGGGAAATTGAAATAATTTTTTCGAATTTGTATTTGAGTTTTTTTAAACACACTGGTAGGAAAATAAAGAAAAGAATGGCAGAAGAATAAAAAAAAGAGAGAGATATATGATTAGGTATTATTGTCATGACAGGCCAGAACGAAGGCTGCACAGTGGAGTGGACTTGGGGGAAATGATTGTATAATAAAAAAAGAGTTTTTCTTTTAGGAGAAAAGTGCAACAATGAATAAATGGAAATCCAAAGTCTCTGTAAACTTTCATTAAAATTAATAATTTAAAAAACCTGTGTGTTTTGTCAGAGAGAAGGAATAATACATTTTTATGTGTAATTACATGAATATTTCTCCAGGCTTTCCCTTGAAATATAAATATTAACTTCCAAGATGTCAAATACTGTGTCCCCATATATCTTGAACTTTATAAACACTACTAGATTTATAAATATCTGGTAAAATAAATGGTAAACATATTAAAGCAGCATTTTGACAGAAATTTGCTAACTTTCAAAACATACCGGTCTGATGTAGAGATTTCCTTTGTGATGAAGTAAAACACCAATTTGAACAAGATTTCTCTTCCTTTTTTAGATCCCAATGCCTTGGCTGGGCAGACCGGTCCTGACCATGCCCTTATAGGAGGAATCGTGGCTGTAGTTGTGTTTGTTACTCTGTGTTCTATATTCCTGCTCGGTCGATACCTGGCAAGACATAAAGGTAGGTTGTATTATATGAAAGTACTCTTTCAAAAATTAATTTCATTAAGGAATAACTTGCTTGAATATTATCGGACTCTTTCCATGCTCAGATAAACCATGGCTGGTGGCCCCAAGAATCATCTGAAGCGTGTAAATCTAAGGTTCCAAAGCACTGGATGCTGGACAAACTGACGGTGTATTTGTTCCTTGTCCATCTACTCCTCCCATCAAACTGAGAGAATGTCTACTGATCATTTTCTTAAGAAATAGACATAAATATGCCTTTGTTTAACCTCAGCAAATGAGGTTAAAAAAATTTGCATGCAGCGTTCATTAAGATTGATGGCGAGGTCTTAACTGATATAACCTACCCTGCTGGTTTTATGGACATGATCAGCATTGACAAGACCAGAGGGAATTTCTGTCTGATCTATGACACCAAGGGACGATTTGCTGTTTACCCCATTACACTTGAGGAAGCAAAGTACAAGTTGTGCAAAGTAAGAAGGATCTTTGTGGGCACAAAAGAAATCCCTAGCCTGGTGACCCATCATCTCGAACCACCCACTACCCTAATCCTCTCATCAGGTGAATGACACCATTCAGATTGATTTGGAGACTGGAAAGTTTACTAATGTCATCAAGTTTGACACTGGTAACCTGTGCATGGTGACTGAAGCTGCTAACCTGGGAAGAATTGGTGTAATCACCCACAGAGAGAGACATCCTGTTTCTTTTTGGTGTGGCTTTTGTGAAAGATGCCAATGACAACAGCTTTGCTACCCTGTTTTCCAACTTTCTGTTATTGCCAAAGGCAATAAATTTTGGATTTCTCTTTTCAAAGAAAAGGGTATCTACCTTACCATTGCTGAAGAAAGTGACTGGGTGCAAAACAGAGCAGTGGGTGACACTATCTCTAGGTGATGTTAATAAAGAGAACAAAATTAAAGAAAATACAGCATAAAAAAAGGAATATTATCAATGTGTGTATGTATACATGTGTGTGTACAAGAGACTAATATAATTTCTAAATTTTGAAGAATTCTTAATGTGAGAGATGTATTAGCTTGTTATTGTTATTTTTGTTATTTGCTGTCAAGTAGCTTGGGACTCATAGTGACCCTATCTACCACAGCCTTAAACCCTGTTCTATCCTGTGCCAGCCCTATTGTCTCTGACACACCTACCCTCATCCCAGTCACTATACTAGGTGAGGGAGAAAAAAAAAATTATACTATCCGGTTGATATCATCACAAGTCAGATGCCAGCTTTGATAAAAAAAATATAAGCAGTCTTGCAATTTCTCCCTAGGACTTAGATATAATTGCAAAATATCTATCTCTTCTGCTTTAAGCATCATTGTTTTATTTGTAAGTTTATAGTCCCATATGTGGCCATATCAGGGAGGAAATTGAGTATTTTTTTCCATAAGCCTGGTAGCAAACTGTTGATATAATCTACTTTCAAATGAAGTTATAACTAGTGACACATAATATTTATTACCAGCTTAACAAAGTTTCCTGATTGCCACAACTGCATGGATCCCATGGTCTGAATTCACCATTAACGAATAAAAATTACTCCTTACATACTTCAGTTTGGTTTTGCCTCCAGTGAATTTGACCATTACTTCATATATTAAATATACCTGGAAATGTGCAACTATGGAAGAGTATAAGTTATTATGTCTCAAAATGTATTTCAGGATATAAGGAATCCAGTATAAATACCTTCCTAAGCAAATGTGTTTTCAGTGGTGGCTAACATCTCAGACTTAACATGCTTTTCTTCCATTATCCACAGGAACATATTTAACAAATGAAGCTAAAGGCGCTGAAGATGCACCAGATGCTGACACAGCCATTATCAATGCTGAAGGCAGCCAAGTCAATGCTGAAGAGAAAAAAGAATATTTCATTTAAATGCAGGCCAAGATTCTGAGTTTTTCTTACCAGGCTGGCTGCTGGAGAAAACTGGCTATCATCGTTCAGAATTCATTTCTACCATCTTCTGCTACTTTATTAACTTCCCTACTGTACTGCTCTCAGTAGCCAGTGTTTACCAACAATCAGCTGTCGACAGTATCATTCTTTAATTATCCTACCATCCATAATGCAGGACATTTCTTATTGCCTAAATTCCATGACATTGCTCTTTTAACATACAGTGCTTGAATATACAGCCTTAACAATGTTAATCATCTCTTTGGATCATAAGATTGAATTGCTTTTATACATTGAAGAAAATGTTCGCGGGTTTGGTTTTTTTCTTTTTGGTTTTTTTCTCCTTTAAATCATAGACCGTATCAATTTGCTATTGGACACTTTTACAAAGAGATTAGGTGAAGACCTAAACCAATAGAAGGTAAGAAGGTTACAAGCAATGCTTTCTACATGTCTATCTTCAAAGAAAGGAGCTCTGGTTGCATAGTGGTTAAAGCACTTAACTACTAACTGAAAGATCAAATCGACCTGTTGCTCTGCTCTACAGGAGAAAGATGTGATAGTCTACTTCTGTAAAGACTTACAGCCTTGGAAACCCTATAGAACAGTTCTACTCTGCCCTATAGGGTTACTATGAATTGGAATCCATTCAATAGCAGTAGGTTTAGTTTTTAGGGTCTTCAAAGACAACATATTTTGGAAACATACGCCTGAGAAAATACAAACTTAAAAAAACCCTCAAGTGTAGATTCTGGAATGTTCAAAATTAGAGTGGTAGCACTGTATCAATTTACTATTTAAAAATAAAATACTTGATACAGGGGCCATGTGTATGAATTGCAATCATGACAACTTATATCATTATATAAATCCAACCACTAGTTTGATATAGCTTAATTTATGAATTGTTCCAAACATTACATTGCTTTGAGAATCATAAAATTTTCTTCCATTCATTTTCTAATTTGATTCTGTAATTTATTTAACTTCATAAAGACTCGCCTGCCTACATAGAATTGAAGTATCCATAGGGCACAATTTCGAGACATTTTAGTATCTGTATATAGTGCATATAATAAATCCAATTAAACATTATTTGATACATATTTACCTTTTTTGGCTGTAGGTACTTCAGTCATAAGTAAGCATTTTCTAATGTCCATTATATCCCTTTAGATATTACTTAAATCAATATTATAAGTAGATAACATAACATGTATTAGTATTTCTGTCTGTATGTCCTAGCACTGTTCAACAACAACTTTTTCTAGTTCTTGTTGATTTTTATTTGTTCTACAATGGAAGCACAATGTTATAAGGAAAGGTAATTTTAAGCTAACAACCAGTGCACAGCCTCAGGTTTTAAATTACAACCACAGTTGACTAATAACCTAAAAATAAAGTCTTAGTTTGCTAAAAACTTACAAATTTTGATTTGGCAGTTTCATAGCTGCTTACCTATGTTGGTTTGCCAAAAAGAAGTGTTGATGATATGTTTTCTGTACAAATGAACTAATTCTTTATATTAAATTCCTGTCTATGCATTCTGTGAGGTACAAACTTATGAAACAGTGAGTGATAGAGAATTTCTGCCATGCTTTTAACTCCAAGGTCAAAGTCTCTTTCTCTGAATTATCTCTGAGAATTTGGAGTATTTAACCATTAAGAAATGCTGTATTCTTAAATATGAGATAGTCAATCTAAATTCTTATTCTTTCTTCTAGTAAAAGGAAATACTGCTAGATTAATCCTCATGAAATTGATTTGATATGAAAGAATTTTTAAAAATCCAGTCAGATAAAATTATTTTCCCATTTGCAAATAATGCACCTTTTAGAAAGAAACGAACATGACTATATGGAAGCTATACTTGTGATGTCTAAAATTGTGATGGTCAATGGTTTGAAAAATAGTAGCTTGGAATTTATTTTGGGGATATGAGAATGGTTGAGAATGGCATCATGTATTAATATCAAATGAAAGACGAGGTGCTGTATCTTTGACTATTTATCAGAAAAGTATAAATCTTTTAAGAAAATGCTAGAATTTTTAAATTGTTTTGATTTTGACTTTTTTTTTTTGGTTGAAACATTTATCGTGTTGATTATCTTACCAAGAAAAAGGATGATGTCAGTCAAGCAGCACTTTTTCAGATTATACAGAACATAAATAATATGATGTGGTTGAGTGTTAACATAATAAATCATATACAGTATGACATTTTAAGGAAATAAGTCTGCATTGATGTGATTGCATGCTTGTTTTTACAGTTCACTCCATCTCATCTGTGGAAAAATGCAATAATATGTTAATATAGTATGGTAGTTTGAAAGAATCAGGTAGGTGCTACTAGACACATTGAAACTAGAATAGGTTTATAAACTGTTCATATCTTTCAATGCATAATCTTTAGAAAGAATCCACAAAGCAAAATTCATCCTGTTAGTAAAAAATGGAAAGGTTCTTATTACAGAAATACACTATATAAATTGCATCATCAATTACTATTTAAGGCCTAATTTCAGGATGCATTTACAAAATTGCTACTCTTCATCAATGCTGTGTTCACATTCCTCTTCATTTCATCTATATTCTACTTGGCTCCAACTGCTAAATTGTTGCTTAAATAAGTCAATTATTATTTATAGCACTGTAAAATTAGAACTCCAGAATTGGGTCAATTTCAGGATTTTTCTTACTCATTTAACCCTTCAGAGTAATATAAAAACTTAGAAACTCAAATAAATCTAAATGGGATTTAATCATTTGTGGTTTATAATAAAATATCTCAACAGCTCTAAGTATAGATAGATTTGAATTAGATCTAATTCTCTATAACTTAAAATCCAAGAAGAAAACCTAGTAAATTAATTAGATTTTACCTTTATTACCAAACAAAAAAGAAAATCATGAAAGTTTTGCTCAATTAATTTTTAGAAATTATAATATATATTAAATAAGATTTCTATGGGAACTATGCCAACTACAATGTCTGATGCATACAAATGTGTATGCACGTAGAGCCAGATTCTATCTCTTCTAAGTGAGCAAAGTAGTTACGGAACTCAATGGAAGGAGTACACACAAGCAGACGTGTACACACACACACACACACACACACACACACACACTTCTATTAGAATATGAAATTTCATTCTTTATCCCTTCTAGAAAGTGACATCCAAAGTAGCTCTTCTCTGCCAGTGTGCTCAGTGTACTATTTACAGTGTAAATTGTACTCCATCAAAAACAAAATAATGTAAGCAGCATTATTTTTCACTTTTTTTTTCCATTTGTGAGTGTCCCAGAGTAAGTGTCAAAATCAAGAAGGAAAAGAAAAATTTATGAGAGCAGAGCAATGATAGTGTGAGTAATGTGTGATGAAAGTGTGTGTGTGTGTGTGTGTGTGTGTGTGTGTGTGTAAGAATGAAATAAAAAGAGATTGATTTAAACTTGTTTATTTTTACCAGAAAATCCAAGAAACAGATTAAAGAACCTGATAGTGGAGTTTATTCCTTTATATATAAATGATTTCGTATTGATTTAAGATGGTAGTCTTGCATTGAAATCCCACAAATGAAAACAGAAAGAACAGTAACTTTCCTAAATATAGCAAAGAAGCCACCACCTCATGTGTTTTCATTTATTTGTAAAAATATAAATATCTCAATTCTAAGAAAGGACAAGCTCATTTGTAATTATGTACTCATGATTGTAACAGCGTTGAGATTCCATATACACATGTGTATAGCAGCTCTTTGACAGTGATGGCTCTTCCATGTAACATAGCAGTTATCGTGTAATTTCGTGCCACTTATTGCAAAGTGTTACCAAGGGCAACATTTCAAATTTCCTTTTTTTTTCTTTTCCTTTGGACATAAACATAAAATGAAATTAATATGGAATTTCACATTCAATATTTTAATTCTGGAGAAAATGCATACCCTTATATCTTAAATGGAAACTTCCCCTTTATATTACTAACTACATAGAGCCCTCAAAAAAAAATAATGTTATATTATTGCCCTTTGCAAAGGTAAATCTGTGATTAATGTTAAAAAAAGAACTAAGTCTAGAAATCACAGCTGAAATAAGTGAAAATTTTAATGAAAATTACAGATGAGTAATGCTTTTTATTAAGTGGCACAAAGTACACACTAAAACTATGCAAAAATATAGGTAACTACAGTGTACTTACATGTAAGTATCTTGTACTTGCTGTGTATGGATGTTGGAAACCCATGTAATTATAATATGCATTTTGAATATTGGGAAAGAGGAAATCTTAGTGTAGATATAAGAATTTGTTTTGAAATATACACTGGCAATATTGAAATATACTCAGTGCAATATCAGCAATTTTATTGCTGAGATTCTTCATGCAAAGGGATTTTAAAGAATTTTTCAACAAGATCCAAGAGGTTGCTAATCTTTGCTTCCCAAATACTAAAATGTTGACTAAAACACAACTGCTTCATAGCAAAATAATTGTTTTTACTTAAAGATAAATATGAATATATGTATAATTAAATTCCATATGCTAACATTATTGGAGAGAAAAAAATCTGAGTTTTCAATTTTAATTCATATATAGTTAAATTTGGAATTATAAACTTAATTTGCTTTTTAAAATTGATTGCATTACTCTTACTATACATACAAACTTATTCAAAAAGTAAAAAGAAATTGTCGTTTAAATTCACTCTTATTTTTCAATGAATTTTAAAATGTCTTTTCTTCTTCCATTATTTTTTTCCGTTTTCTCTCCCTAGTTTGTCCTAAATATGCCCTTTGCTCTTTACCCTTCCAAAGGTAATGGATTCAAAGTAACAAAAGAATAAAGAAAGCTAAAGGGGACAAAATATAAATACGGTTACTAAACTTAACTGATTAGCATGTTTGTGTATCAAGATTATTAATATTTAATGCAATAGTTATTGGATATATTTGGGAAGTTCTCTGCCATGCACACTTACAATAATCCTTCTACCTCTCACTTTTAACATGGGCTATGATACTTCAGTATAAATAG